CAAAGCTGGGAGGCTGAAATTTTAAGGTGATGTTCCCAGCCCATATACGACTTAAAGTTATCAAATACAGCCCCCAGGCGTGCGTGGTTCTCGTGTACCGGCACTTAAATTTTTGGCGGGAAATTACTCATTGAACGGCTGAGTCATTTTTAAAAAACGACCGCTAAACGGAAATTGTTTATTTTCTTTTATGCAAAATTTACAGTGATTTACGGTATTGAGAGCACAAGGTAGGTGTAAAGAAACAACCACTCATGCAGTTAACCTAATTATTTCAAGTTTGGTGCAAAAACGCATGATCGCACCGGCTCGCCTGGTGCGTTCCGGCCTGGGTTACATTACGTGAGCATCATTCATTAATGCGCTTTGTTCATCTCTTGTCTCCCACTAATGCGCTTCCAAACCATCTCTTCTTGGCGTACATTACTTTGATAATGTCGCTCGCACCAGATCAAAATTGCAGTATTTTATTGGAAAACTACTGCGGTTTGTTGAAACCCACCATGCGTCATTCCATAGATGGTCGATGTGCGGTGCCATAAATGTAAAATCAACTCTTATGTGCGGAGGCTTGGAGGCAAAACTGAAAATGCTTTGACGGGAAAGCGGTTTTCGGACAGACGAGATGGGGAGCTGAAATTTAATGAGCATACACCCATGTGCGACATAAAGATTCTAAATTGATCTCTGAGACACACCTAGGTCCTGCAGGTGAAAGTTGGAGTTAGGACACTGTTAGCTCCCTTATAATTAAAACGCCAGGCTGACTAGAAATCCTTACTTTCAGCACTTTTACTGTTCATGTACAAGCCTGCATGCACAAAAGGAGCTTTCCCGCCCGCTCATGTCCCACGTGCGAGCACGCCAAAATTCTGTTACAAAACTGTCGGCACCCATCTGTCGTGGTAACCAGGCAAGCTTGAAAGCTGAAACTCTGCAAAGCCGCGCAGTGCAACACCAGCGCCTTCGCTAATGGCTCTCTTTCGAACACAAAAGAAACGACCAACAAGAACATTCCCAGTATGAATACACATAATAAACTGTGGAGTAATGAACGCTCTTACTGTTAACGATCTTATTACTGCATGAAATCGTTCAAAAACACGACTGCACCGGCAGGCTTCATGCGCGCCGCTAAATATAGGATTAACATGAGTTTAGATCTGAGTTCATCGTGGTAGGCGAAGACGCAAAAAGGTCTGGAAGCTAATTTTAAACTTTTGATCCTACGTCAGAAGAAAGTACAAATATGAGCTTAATGCTTTTTATTGTTGTTTGATTCTAAATCGTTTATAGAGCAATACTTACATGCATATGCATATATGTTCATAATGTCGGAAAAAAGTATTTTTCTTCGTTTATCCAAAAACAACATCGCTGACCAACGTGGCTGAAGAGCAGCTGTTGTATCTTGTAAGCGCAAGATATTCCACCAGCGGCACCTTTCAGAGCAACGGATAGAACAATGGTCTCGCGGAGGAGAATCAGCAGTGGTTGCAACGTTAAATGAGCTTTTCGCAAGGGCTTATCTTCAAGTGTCATGGTTTGTTCACGCCAGTCTCACAGTGCGCTCTATTGTGTCGCTCGGGATGTATTAGTGTGGAACTGAGGTGCGATCTTGATGTTACTTTCGCCGATGCTGCCACAACTTAGTGCAGCTTTATTCAGTAACAGTGGCAGTTCGGCAGCAACTGATCAACCTCCCAGCACTTCCGGTTTGTTTTTATGGTTATAGGATGACTGTGCGTGTTTCTGTTTGTTTGTTCGGTTAATAAAACCCCACATTTACGGTGACCGAGAAGCCGTGATTTTGGAAGCATATGAGGCAATAGGACCTTTGGATCAACCTTTGGATGAGATCAACCCCTACACTTTTTATTAGCCGTAAACGCAGGCTCGGACTGAGGCCAGTGTCGTAACTCAGAGATGAATAAAGCCAAAAAATGGGAAATTTTAGGTCTTAATTCAAAAGATAATGTGGAACTAATAATCTGACAGCGGCTTCAAACTAAGTTGTCGCTAATGCCTTGATGAGACCCCAAGTGGCAGCGCGCCAGGCTTGCCGATTGCATGATTCCATCCTGTACAGAGATTGCTTGTAATGCTGGAATGTGAGTGCGGTGTTGCAATTTGAACATTTCATACGTTTGTACGCCGAGTGCATGCCTAGAAGCTCCTGTTACGCTTAGTGGTCCACACATAAACAGCAAACATCGTCTTGCCAATGCATAATAATTGGCCAACGCACGGGCTGCCCGTGCGAAGACGCGTTTTTTGCATAGCTCCCCGCAGATTTTTGTCGCTAACAGCACTGGTTTTTCCGGCAGATGCTTCTAGCTAAAAGAATTTCAGACTGACCACCAGAACTGTCAGGAAACATCCCCTCAAAACTCCAGTCTTCTGGCTTCCCACTTTCTGGAGTTAGCAACCTACCCGGAAGAAACTTTCACGGGCCTGTACATAGGTACCATGTTTACCCGCGGGTAGGGTTTTGAACTCGTTAATACCCACTTGGACAGGGAACAACCCCCTAAGATTTCAGCGTTCTAACTTCTCAGATCCCCGAGTTATGAACTATCCGAAAGAAATTTTGGCGGGCCCGTACGCGAGTACCACGCTTATCCGGGAGATAGGTTCCGGTGCCTTAACACCTACTTGGGCGAGAAACATCTCCCTAAGATTTCAACGTCCTAGCTTCTCAGATCTCCGAGTTATGAACTTACCCCAAAAAAACTTTGGCGGGCCGACACGCCAGTACCACGCGGGTGATGGCGCCCATTTTGGGGATTGGGGCCAACACGTGCATGTAGATTAAGTTCCCGGAATTTCAGCCCTGCAGCTTCTATAGGTTTTGAGATGAAAGTGCGTGAAAGACGCACACACAGACACACAAACACACGGACACACAGACAACCCCTCGTCAGTATGCGTTTTTGCATTGCATAGCTGCAAAAAACGCATGACAAAATTAGCAACGGCACGCACCAGCTGTAGATGTCGCTGTGCGTACTTGAATTAAGCTGACTGCGGATTCATTTTACCAAAAAAAAGCAAAAAGAAATAAGTCGATGGATCAGGATACGGGAAACATTCAGCCCTTATTTTAGGTCGCCAAATCCGCGTTTTGCTGTGGGCTAAACCCGGTTTTAAATTTGTAGATGGCTTTGCTTCGGAATCATAAAACTGCGTGGATTTGGACGGACATCACAGTTCGGGAAACGGTAGAAAGACTGGTTTTTAATAAATTATGCCATCTGTGTTGTTCTGCTCCGAAATTAATGGAATGGCCTGGATTTACGCTTGAAGTCTGGGTTGTTTCTGGGATTCATTCTGATTGGTAAATTAGTGAGAATTTTTTCGACTTCGTAGCGTTATTCATCTGCTCCAGATGTAAAATTAGCACCGAATCAAGATATAGGATCAATGGTCAAGGTTTATAAAAACAAGCTGATCTCTCAAAACTCGCGCTTCTTGCTTTTTGTCGTAATTCTAAAGCAGAACTATCTGCACAGCTATACAAACAGAGATATGCTGTTG